ACACACACACACACACACACACACACACACACACACACACACACACACACACACACATAAACATTGCACTATAAACACAAAAAAATGTACAGAATAAGAAATATAACCAAATTTATCTTTTATTGAAATCATAAATACTCATTTTCAGCAGCTCCTTTTTACTTTACTGTGTTGTATTATTTGCAGCGTCTGGCTCCCTCGGCTCAGAGACAAGGGCTGCAGTTTCCTGTCAGGTCAGCTGATGTCAGTGTGGCTCCACGGAAAGACAGTGGCTGCAGGACGAGCACAGAGAACCTCAGCAGATGTGGCGTTAAGATGCTCGGTGACGTCGTCGCTTCGTGCTGCTCAGCCGTCACAAAAACAAGGAACATAAAGACTGCGGACGGTTCAGTTCTCCTCAGAAGCTGCAGCTCCTCATTCCAGGCCTCAACATGGTGAAGTTCCAGGATGTTTTCATTTATTCTTTGTACCCAGTTTCACTCCAGAATTTGTTTCCAGCCATAAAATAGAGCTTGGCACCAGACTTGCTCTGGACAGCTGTTCCCCCCCCCCCCCCCCCCCCCAATTACTTCTGAGAGAAATTGGATAAACAGGCGACGCTGACCCTTCATCAAAGAGCCACACAAGAAGACTGAACAAGACGCTCAGCTTGTGGCGTAAAACAAGAAAAACTAGCACAAACTCAAACAACACAAGGTGTCAGAAACAGTTTTCATCACAAAGTCAGACTTTCCTCCCTCCACAGTAAAGTATTGGATGCTGGTCAAGGCTGTGCAATGCTGAACGCCAGCCCCCCTGGTTGGTATTCTCCTGGTCTCCTGCRCTCCCTCCTGCCTTCTCCCTCTCAGTTCCAGCGATGGCTGCTGGAAGCACCGCGAGCAGAGAGTGATTAAAACTGACTGGGCTCTGAGAGCGCGATCCTGCAGAGATCAGGYAGGGACGGGATGAAAGACAGAAACAGAGGAGCTGTCGTCTCACAGGCAACCTTTGCCTCAGTTCCACCTTTCCTCCTTTACAGATGTGAAGGCATTAAGGCACACGGTTCTCGTATTAGTTACAGCACTTATCAGCAAATAAACAGATCAATAACAGCCTCGTGATGCCAACAAATCATATAAAGACCTATCCTTGAATGCCAGTTTTACACTAAGACGTTGGGAAACAATGAGATAGTAGCAGTTTTTATCAAATCTTAATACATTATTCCCAATCTCATGCAAAATTGTAAATCTGGTGTTGTGAATGACTCTCAGCTACTGCAGTGTCAGATTTTGTCTTAATATTCACAAAAGGGAACTGAGTTTTAGCCATTTTTTGAGTTGGGTAATGCCAAACCTTGAATTGGAATTACTTCAAACAATAATCAGTTGTTGATGCAAATCCATTAATTAATTTCCAAAAGGTTAATTGAAATTGGTCCAGTGGTTTACAAGATATTTTGCTAACAGACAGGGTTGATTTCGACAAGTAATKTCACAGTATTAAGCAAAGATTTAACGCAAAATGTAGCAATTAAAATACAGCATGTGCTGTGAATTAGTCTCAGCTACTGCTGCTCCAAATTACAGTTGATTATGTGTATAACTGACTGACCTAAAACTGTTTTTGTGTTTTCTATGGTCAGTTGGCTGTGGTGGACAACTTGAATGCAGTTGGGTCCAAAAGTTATTCCTTCATAGATGACCATCCAGTGATTACTGTGTGAAATATATATATTAAAATCTGTCCAGTGGTTCGTGAGATATTTTACTAACAGACAAACACCATTGACTCTAACAGTTAWTAATGTCAGAGTTTAAAAAATAGAACTCACATAATAAGTTAGGGATGACTCTCACCTTCAATTCGACTTAATTATAAATACGTTGTGCTTGATAAGGTTGCTTAGCTGTGTCGGCCATCTTGAATGGGGTGGTTCATGAGATATTTTGGTATATTTCATGTTATGGACAAATGGACAAAAAGACAGACAAAAATGTTACCTCCTTGCCTTCGGMAGCAGCCAATAAGCTAATTTGTGCAAAGAATGAAAAAAGGGCTTAATATGGGAAGAAAATGACTAAGCTTTTAATAATGTGATGGAATTAAACCGTAATATGAACACMGATACATAAAAGGAGCAACTTGAGKCAGGTTTCACTTTTTAAACAACAGCTTAGCACATCAAAGGTGGCTAATTTAGTCATGGCTGAAAGAAAAAAAACTTTTAAAAACAAGTGCTTGCTGAGTTTTTGAGTCTATTATTCAACACGTTCCTAAGAAAAACAAAGTTCTGTTTTTTTTCTGTAGATCTTTACATGAAATTTTATAAATGCATTCGAACATCCAACACATCTTGACAAGGTGTTCATTTTTAATGATGCATTTTCACAAGAAAACAATAAAAGACTGAGTGAACGCTGGAGTTTATCAATCTTTAATCATACAAATACTTCACATGTTGCCCGCTTTCGTCTCTTATTCTATTTTACACTGACTCATAACATAACACGCAAACTTCTCCCCTCACGTTCATTATTCATTGCACTCATAAATGTTATAAAAACACAACATCATGACCTAATCCTACTGCAATGTCMCAGGTTCATGGAATAAAACCCAGTTTTTACCAACACTATCTGTCCTGCTGTGCAGTTTTAACAAGAAARCATTTTATTTTGCTGTAAAGTAACACTGAAATAAGTTTCTGCACTTTGGATTTTAAAGGACATTTAACTCCTTGTTTATATGAAGCGCAAAAAACTCGGAGAATAAGGGACGTTTTGACTTAGCAACATTTGCAGGGGACAATTAAACCTGAAACAGGACCTGAGATRCCATTTATTTTGGGGACACAGACGTCTGATGTCCTCCCCGAACCAGAACCTTTCTCCTCCCTTTGTTCTGGGTCGACTTCTGCTGCTATTTTATTTTTTTCAGGAGCTCCATACATTTTCTAGCAGCTCAGCGTCTATTAAAGTAAACAGCTGGAGGCTCTTTGAGATTGTTTTTTYCCCCTGCCATTACACAGGATCCGTGTTTTCCATACGTTTCATTTCGCCGTTATCTATCGAGAACCAGAAAGAGTCACTGCTGGCGATGACCGTGTGCGGCCCCTGGAGGTAAGGGTTCATAAAGACGCAACAATCAGAGCAACAACGTTTTAGTTAATCCAGCGATCTTAACCTCGCTGCATGCAGATGTGCCGGGGAAATTCATGAATCTGTCAGCTGTTTACAGGCCTCTGGTTGTCCCTTTGGGATCAGACGGGAGGCAGAGTCTATTTAAACACTATCTCCGTGACCTCTCGGAGCACAGCAGGCTCCGCAGGGATCTGCTGGATTAACCGGAGCCTCTAAGGTAAGCTGAATCATTATGAACAGCAGCAACRCTTTGAAAACACCCATAACTGCACATTAGCATTGAAATGAGGGAGCTCTTTGTCAGGAGGTAGTTCTGGGTCACGGAGACAAACAGTGAACGTGCCAAGGGACGTCGGCGCGCACCAGTGTGTCCTCCACACACTCTTCTCCACTGCCAATGGTCTTATTTTATTTTTTTATTTTAAAGGGTTCCCCGATTAGTTGTAACATTAGACTTAACATATATTTTAACTGTAAAATAAAGACTGTAAAAATGCT